TGGAGGGTTATCACATAGGTGAAGACGTATCATTTAAGCGTATGCCGTATATTGATTTTAAATTGGCGGATCGCTTCTATGTGGCTTCCTGAAGGTGATATATTCACCAAGTGCCTCCGACCGACCTACGGGCAGGGAGTCACAACTTCTGCTGAGGACAGGAGCACTGGGGTTTTCAGCCCTTTTGCCCTCATCGTTTCGAGCAGTTCCAACCACAAGAAGAGGAGGCATAAGCTGGCGTCCGCCACTGCGCGCCGGTTCTGCCGAAACAACCGAGGCCGCTGCTTCATCCAATGCCCCCCCTCCCGTTGAACAGTCGCCACCCGATGGTTTTCCATGCCCCCAATGTGGCCGATCCTTCACAAGCTCTAAGGGTCTTGGAGTCCACCGGAGAGCGAAGTACCTCGAGGTCGTCAACAGGGAGATAGAGGTCGCGGAGAAGAAGGTTCGGTGAAGTGACGAAGAACTACGTCTTATTACAAGAGCTGAAGCAGAGGCTACCCTCCGGCGCTTGGTCCACATGAACCTCCACCTCCTGGAGATGGTTCCAGGTAGGACCCAGGAATCCATCAAAGGCGTCAGGAGACGCCCCGACTACAGGAGCACTGTTCTTGCTGCTCTCGTCGATCTTCGAGCAGCCCCAAACATCGTCATAGAGGAAGCGCCGAGGAGTAGACCTGCGGCCAGATCCACCGCACCATCCACCGCCACTCTACCACGGGCCAAAGATAGTCACACAGGGCCGGCGGCATCCCCTCGGAGTCCTTTGCATATGGATATTCGCGCAGCATTGCGGAAACTAATTGCTGAGGCACGTCTCCCCTCCCCGTGTACCAGGTGGACGTGCTCATCGCCGCTGTCAAGGGATTGCTAAGAGGAGATGTCCCGACGGATGATATCATCTCATGGTTCCGTCGCGCCATATCCCCCGCCCGCCCTGCGACCCGTGGAGCACTTTTTCAGACCGCTATGCACCCTGCTGCCATTGAAGGTAGGATGACCGCAAGGAGAAGGAGGAGACAAGAATACGCCAGGGTCCAGTCCAGTATGAAAGAGGAATCGATCGACAGCGGCCCATGAGGTTCTGGACGAGCTCCATCCGTTCTGGTCCGACGTGTTCAGGCTGAAGTCGTCCCCATAAGCCGGCCGTTCTGGTGCCACTCAGAACCCAAAATTCGCAAGCCTTTGGGACCCGATCTCCTGTGAGAAGGTCCAGAACATCAAGATTCCATCTTCCTCCTCCCCGGGTCTGGAAGCGATCACATCTTTGCCTTGGTTTGCTGTCTCCTCGCCCGTCAAGTGCCTCCTATTTAACACCGTCATGACCGCAGGGGCGTTCCCTGCCGAGCTTCTTGTCACGCGGACGGTGTTTCTTCCGAAGAAGGGTCCACCACCGGCACCGCATCCTTGCCATACGACTGAAGAACCTCCCCTTATTCGACGTCTGACAACGTTATCTCGGCTGATGGTTGTGCCGAGAACACCGCTGTGATCGACGCCCTTATTTGGATGGCGAGGACACTTTTGCGAGAGCTTCATGTAGTCACCTTGGGCATATCCAAGGCGTTCAACACCATCTCCCATAGAGCTCTCATCAACAGGCCAGCCTATCACAAGGGTTCGTAGCCTATATTACCGGTCTATATGAGGGAGGAACCACCGTCTAGATGGAAGGCCATAAGATCTTGACTCAGGCTTCCCGAGGACACACCGATGCCCTACTTTTATGCTGCAGCTGCAGATGGCGGCCTCGGTGTTCCTTCTCTACTGACCGGCATCCCCAGCATCATCGTGTTCATCCTTGGCAAACTAGGGGATTCCAGCTCGCCAGCAGCTCAGGCAGCATACCGTACCCAGCGCCTACAACGTAAGCTGGGCTGGACTAGCAAAATGCTGCGAAGAGCTGGGCTTACGGAAATCAACCCATCCATCAAAGACAGGCATCGGCATTGAGCGAAGATGTTGCACGAATCCGTGGATGGCGGCGACCTGCGGTAATGTAACAAGAGCTCCCTCTCTTACTCATGGATCCGTCGCTACCCCGACCAAATACCAGGCCGGGACTACGTGCAGTATCACCACGTGCGAATAAACACCCTTCCCACACGAATCAGGACCTCTAGAGGAGAACGACGCAGCGACCGGCATGTGACATGCCGAGCTGGCTGCATCACCACCGAGACAGCAGCACATGTCATCTTGTACTGCTGGAGGACTCGAGGGGGAAGTCAAGGGCTGGTCAGTGGAGGAGGAGCCGAGACCGCAGACTCCCTGTGGACTAAGAAAGCCGGACATCATCGCCAGGAGAGATACTGAAGGGCACATCGTCGACGCCCAAGTCGTGACGGCATCAAAACCCTCATCTCATCGTACCAAGGTCGCATACTACGCCAACGACCCGGGTGTCCTAGATGTCGTTTCCCGACGTCCTCAGGTTCCCCGTGAAGCCATCAGGGCCACGACTTTTACCATCTCCTGGCGTGACATCTGTAGTCCTGCATCAGCTGGCCGCCGCAGGACTCCCTTGCCATCTTCTGGCAGGCCTAACCACCAGGGTGTTGCAGAGGTCACACACCAACTGGACCCGTTTCAACCAAATGACGGCGAACAAACACTCCGCCCGTCATGCCAGGGAGAGCATTAGATGAAACCAAGGCCCAGCAGTGTCCAGGAGTGTTTTATCTTAAACGGGACTAAAATACAAAATCTTAGTTATCCTAATTGCATTGTAAAAACTAATTCTGTCACTGAAATACTGACGACTTGCTTAAATACTACAGATGAAACAATTAACACCACCATAAAGCAAACCGACATACAATTGGACGAGCTACCTGTCTTATCAAATTCAAAACTTGCATCTGAATGAAGAAGAAAAAATTCATATCATTAAAATTTATAGAGAATTTTGGGACATATTTTACTTTGAGGGCGATAAACTGGTTATCGGTATTCTAAATTTCATAAAAAAGAAGTTCAAGATCAAATTAAAAAAATGTTAAATCAAAAGATCATTAGACCGCCGTTTTCCATCCGGTATGGGTGGTACCATAAAAGTTGGATGCTTCTGGTAAACAAAAATGGAGGGTTGTCATCCATTAGAGTAAGTTGAATGAAAAACGGTTTCCGATTAATATCCACTCCCAAACATTACGGAAATACTAGATAACATAGGCAGGAGTTCTTATTTTACTACCCTAGACTTAACCAACAGTTTCCATGAGATAGAGATGAACGACAGTAGTATAGAGAAAACCGCCTTTCTACCATGAAGGAATGGCCAGTGCCTGAAAATGTTCACGACATAAGAAGCTTCTTGGGATTGTGCACGTATTATCGTCGCTATGTTATATGGATTCGCCAAGATCGCAAAACGTTTAATCGAAAGTGACTGCAAATTTCATTGGGATTCGGATTGTCAAACGTTATTTGACACTTTGAAGCAGGCTTTAATCACAGCCCCCGTACTGGTATATCCTCGGCCTAATGGAATGTTCATTTTGGACACAGACGCCAGCAAAGTGGGAATGGGAGCCGTTCTTTCGCAGTTACAAGATGACCAAGAGAAGGTAATCGGCTATTTTAGCAAGACCATATCAAAAGCCGAAAGAAACTACTGTGTCACTTGGCGAGAGATGTTGGCTGTAGTCAAAGGTGTAGAACATTTTTATAAATACTTGTATGGACGAAAATTTACCTTACGCACCGATCATGCATCTTTAAAGTGGCTTCTGAATTTCAAGAATTCGGAGGGCCAGGTAGCTCGATGGATTGAGAAGTTACAGGAATATGATTTTGACGTGGAGCACCGGCCTGGAACCGGACACAAGAATGCCGATGCACTTTCCAGAAGATGTTGTCAAAGAGACTGCAAGTAGTGTAATCGAATGGAAAAGAATGAAGAGGAAATTCGACGCGTCACGGTAATCAACGAGGAGTGGTTATCTAACAATATAAAACACGAGCAAGAAAATGACCCGGACTTGAAGAAGATGATGGAATGAAAAAGAGACGGAAAACGGCCAACGTGGCAGCAAATTTCTTCCTGTACCCAAGTACTAAAATCGTTATGGGCTCAGTGGGACTCAATGGTTTTGTAGGATGTCATCCTGAAGCGTGTTGTTGAATGTCCAGATGGAGAGGAAGATAGGAAGCAACTGGTTATTCCTCGAAAGAAGGTTAGAGAAGTGTTGCAATATCTTCATAGTGGATCATCTGGTGGCCATTTTGGAGTGAATAAGACGCTTGGGAAAGTTCGAGAGCGATTTTATTGGGTGGACTGTAAGGAAGATGTCAAGAATTGGTGTAAGAAGTGTACCACCTGTGCCACGAGTAATGGATCACAGAAAAGGACTGGGACCACTATTTGCCTTTATTGTTAATGCCGTTAACGGCATACCGTTCATCTGTCTACGAAGCGACTGGCCAAACACCTGCCAGTGTCCTTTTTGGAAGGAAGTTACGACTGCCTTGTGACCTCAAATTCGGCTGTAAACCAGGAGATGACTTGGCTGGAGAAGATTACCGAAATTACCGAATTAAGAAAACTCCAGATGAGATACCGCAGGTAGTCCATTTTAATCGCTTCATCGTCGCATACCCACAGTACCTCCCCTAATTGTATCTAATTATAACTCACCCTGATTGCTTTACCATTATTCTTCTCCTTTTCTTGATTAGCCGTTAGCCTTATAATCGTTTCTATTTTTCTCTCCTCTATTGTCAAATCCTCCTTAATAAATATTCTTGTTCCTCTCAGATTCTTCTTGTTTCGCAAAATTTTTATTTTTTGCTCCCAACCTTCAAACCAAATATCTTTTCTTTTATTCTCCAAATTTCCAAGATTTCTATTTCAACTTTCAGCTTCTCTTTTATCAGATCTTTCATTTCAACTCTCCAATCCCTTCTTCCCAGCTCTACACAAAACACAACGATGTTGGTTCTTTTCTCTAATTTATTTCTTCTTTCCATCTCCCCCTCCAAAGTACTAATCGTTATCTCCTGCTTGTCTATCCTTTCCTTGTCTTCATCTTTGCTCCCCTTATGCTTAATTTCTTTTTTCAGCATAGCCATTACTTCACTTTTCAGTTTTTCTTTTTCTACTTCCAGAAACCCTTACAACTATCCATACATTCTTCTTTTATTTCGCTTATTTTATTTAATAACTCCTTATGCCTACTCATCTCTTTCCTTATTACATTTTTGATTACATCTATCAATCCTCTGTCGTTTATGCCTATTTTGCTTCTTCCATTTTTTTTGGTTCTTTACTAACCCGGGATAATTTCTTCGATCCCTTCTTTTCTTGATCTATGCTCGTTTCATCTTTCCTTTTCAAATGATTATCATTAATTTCTTGTTCAAACATTAACATTGTTTACGATATATAAAGCACAAAAAAAAACAGATTGTCGACGATAACAATAAAGGATAAGTCACTGCTATCTATTTCTCTTCTTCCAACCAAATTAACACGGTTTCGTAGACAATTACCGAAGTATTTTATCATTTATTGTGGAATG